AAAGTATTATTTTTTTAATGAGCATAGAATAACTAACAGGTTTCTTATTTATTTTTAAAATGAACATAGAGTAACAAACAGCTTTCTTATTTATTTTTGAAAATGAACGTAGATTAACTAACAGCATTTTTATTTAATTTTTAATATAAACACAGACTAAATAACAGCATTCTTGCTTATTTTTTAAAATGAACATAAAGTAAACTTGTACTCTATTGTATTGTACAAATTCAAATTAAGATGAAATAGTGCTGTTACACCATCTATCGATATTTTATGCTCTGATATTCGATATCATATGATAATTTCAAATTTATTAGATTACAAATGAAATTGTTGGAAATCAAAACTCAATATTTTATAGTTATATATTTATGTATAAAAAGAGATAACTAACTAAATAAAAGATTACTGCGAGACTATCCGAAAAACAGTGTTTTTTATTTACCGTTACTAAATAAAATCCTAAGAAAAATATCATTCTAATATGAAAAAATATATACTAGGCTGTTATTTAAAATAACATAAGTAACAGGTATTTAAAAGGGCGAGCACAACAGATCTATGTAGGTTGTAGTGCTACAGGTGCTACAATCACCTGACAATAGCCCAAACAACCCAATAAAAAAAAAAATAGGTAGTGGGTATATATTAATCACTTGATGAATTCAGGAGGGGTAGAATCATCCAATCTCACGTGGAGTAGCGGTCTTTGTTATATTACATATAAAATCACATTAAAAATTGACAATACATGTATGGTATCAATAAATCAGTTAAGAACATAACAAAGTACTGGTTATAATACTTGATAATGGGTACAGCTATGACGTAACTATGTGGTAATGGGTGTACAACTATTTTTTTAAAAGTAAAAAAAAAAAGATAATAAAATGATCACCTAATAGTAAAGTAAAAACTTTGTTTATTAGAATATCTTTATTATTAACCATATGTTTTTAATTATTTTTAAATATTAAATGTTTTTAATTATTATTACAATATATTAACTATGTATTTCTCTCTTAAATCTCTATAATATTATTACTTTTTATTTTATGTCAATATTTTGGCGCCAAAGTTATTTCACTTTTTTTTATATGGACTAAGGGCAACGGTTATACATCAAAAGGTTATATTTATGTGATTGAAATTAACAACAAATAATTGACATTACTTAACAACATTAAATAAACAATTAAATTATATAAATTATAATATTAAAAGTGGGATATTTAACAATTTTGTACGCCTTTATCGAAAATTGCACAGTGCAATGGTCGTGGTTTCTATTTATGGCACATTAGATGATGATAATTCTTTTCGTAAAACTACATCCTTACTAATATTATAAACTAGCTACTCGCCCCGGCTTCGCCCGGGTGTACTTGTATCATTCATATAAACCTTCTTCTTAAATCACTCTATTAAAAAAAACCGTTTCAAAATCCGTTGCGTAGTTTTAAAGATATTTTATAATGTGGCATTAAAAATACGTACAAACCTAAATTTTCACCCTTCTATCACCAACCCCTATTTTTTAATAGCGATTTTAATTTATATGGCAAAATGTTTGCGGGGTTAGCTAGTATATATAAAGGTCTATCTTTCAAGCACTATTTATTTAGTTTTTAAAATAAATAAAAATGATAAATTGTCTTTGATTTCTTTGAATCATTATTCCACCGCCGTCATAGCTGTATTCCATTCGTTAGATATTAAACAACAATGTCATTCAGTTAGTATGTTTATTGCTCACCTAGATAGCGTTGTACAGCGAGGCAGATCACATACCCTTGCGTCGCGGAGTCTCGCTCGCGGCCTCCTCCGGCTGGATGTGTTCGCATCCGTCCGCACGCGTACGCGCGCCCAACTTCGGCGAGCTGGGAACAGTGTTGCCAGCATTAAACCATTAAAAAATTCTGATTCAAAACATCTTTATTCATGTAGGTCTATTACAGATTATGATATGTGAAATCTACTGTCAACTCGGAATGATTTCGAGACGAGAAGAACTGACAAGAAAGTCAGCTCGTATTATTTTCAAATAAATATTATACATGTTTAGGATAATACAGATCCATTTTTAAATTCAAATTTAGGAGAATAACCACTAGCATATGCTATTGAAAAGCAAATAGTGTAATCAGTGCTCGTAACCCGAACAGACCAGTCCCCACAAGCAGCACCCGTTCACAAGTATGATGGATTAACAGTAAATAAGGTAATCACAAATAGCATTGTAATGTATTTTAACACCCTTCCTCGTAAAGTGGATCTAAAATCGCCGGTTTTCGATATAGAAAGCAGTTCATAAAACACGCGTGCGTTATAAACGGTGATGTTATATTCCATAACTCTACGATTTGCTATTTTTTTTTAATTTCGAAGTTACAGGCACCGACCATAGACAGCGCGCTGATTTAAAAACGTAAAACGGCGGGAAAGCAACAGTGTGCATCACAGTTTTATGGTTGAGTTTATTTAAAATCAAGTGTATACGATATACGTGCGTATTTAACGACCCCATTGATAACACTGTTTCATTTTAGGTTGACCTACACGCGTTTCTCCCTAAAAACCATCCGTATACATTCCTGATAATTTACCATGACGGCCTAACTGACCTGATTTCATGCTCATCCTATAATTCTCCACTGATGCCCCGTCAGCGTATACCGTTAGGGCGGGTGCCCCACCCATTAGAGCGGGAAAGGGTTTGTTAGTAATGTGGACTCATGACCCTTACTAGCAATGTAGCATGTCAGGTTGACTTCCACGCGGTTCCACCTGGAAACCATCGTGATGAGGTTACCACGACGGGCTAACTGACCCGACTTCGTGTTCATGCTATCATCCTCCACTGGTGCCCCGCCAGCGTATACCGTTAGCACAGGCGGGTGCACCATTCCAGTATCATTAAAAAAACCGACGAACAATTGTACAATATCTCGTATATTTTATATGTAGTTGTTACCTCTGCTCCACCAGTATCTTGGTGAGCCTAGCCACTTCAGCTCTCAGTTGGCTGATCTCCTTGTCCTTGGCCCGCGTCTCCTCTCCCGCGGCGCGATCGCGTGCTGTCAGCCGCGCTCGCATGTCATCGAAACTAAACGCAACACAAAACAATTCTTGAATTATTCGAACTTTTAATTTTAATTCAAAATTTATTTTCTAATTCTCTAAATTTATTTGTGGTCGTCGTAATATGTTTTTCTCTTCCATTCATCTCTGTTCGCAGTCATCTCGTTATCATTTCGTTCACTCAAATTGATATTACGAGAGCACCACCGTCTTAAACTAGGCTGGGGCCTTTGGGTACACAAGAATACGGGGCCCTTTTGGAAAGTAAAAAAAAGCTCATTAGGTATAAGAACAACAACATTACTGATTTGTGCCCGAAAAAAATTTTTTGAGAATGTTGTGTGAGTGTGGGAGAAAAACAGTCAATCCTTCGGGGGCCCCCTGAGAATGGGGGGCTTGGACACGGGCCCCGTGTGCCCTTATGGTAAAGACGATATTGTACGAGAGAATGGTTTTGGCTTCAATTTTATGACCGGCCACCTGCCTGACGTCTCTCCTTGGGCATATTCTTTTGGGCATTAATTATTCTAGTATTAATAATAATAACTGTTTATTAGACATAGATTATCAAAGAACAATGAGTACATTGCAATAAAAATGTAATTCTAATTTTATTGGCCACAGCTGGTCTTTACAGCTTCACCGGACGATAGGGGGCGGGTGCAGATGGCACTTCAAACAAAGGACTTACGGAACGACTTCAGTTTGAGGGCACCGCTAAGGATTCGAACTTGCTCAGGCCGTAAATGCGATACCCGTTAGAATGGTTGAGTAAATAGAGAGAAGGGGGCAAACTTTTTAGCCAACAAGCAGCTGGACTGTAAGATATGTGTTCAAAATGTACTCTATACCTGTTGTAAGCACAGATTATTATATTAGAGCCCGTTAGTTTCTGTACCCCTACTTTCGTCATTTATCTATGACAGTAAGGGCCGTTAGTCACGCGCGCGAAATCCCCTTAATTTTAATACAATTTTATTACAAACTGAATGCAAAAGTGAGTGAAAACATCACCTGGATGCTGGCCCGTGTTAAGAAGTCAACAATAAAGAAAATCAGCGCTGTAGTGATACGCTGTGGCATCATCTGAGGGGAAGCCTTTTCAGCATAGCGAAATATTAGTTTTTAGTTTTCTTTTTTACTCTGTACTATGATGTTGATAAATGATTATATTTTCTTTTTTTCAAAAAATCTCATCTCCCCTCTTAAGGAGAGGAGATGGCAACATACCCCCGGTAGAAGCACAGTCGGCCGGGGTTCAGGGCCCCAGTGTGAGAAACCGGTGTACAATGCGGACAGAATCTAAATATCATATCATCATATATATAGAATATAAATATCTAATAATAATGATTATTATTATTATTACTATTATTAAGTTCAGTAGCATACAGGTATAGGACAGATGCTTCCACAAACCACATATAGTCCCCTTACATTTTGGTAGCAGAGTATGGTTGTTCCCTAACAATATGTTTTGGTTCAAAGGTGAAATTTCAGAATACGGAAGCCTGATATTTCAGTCATCTGGAATGGCAACGGATAATTACCTCAGGCGTCACATGATAACGTGATGTTCATTTATATAGGTGACGTTTACCTAAGGTTGTTTTTTATTCCAGTTGCTTGTTTGATATTAATCTGAGACACGGCGACTCTTCCTCTGCCACTCTGGATATTCCCAGTGAATTATGGGCATATCAATAAAACTCTCTGCTTTTTGGCAGAAAAATGTAGTAATATTTCGTCTGTATGTTACTCTATAAGTTATTTATAATACGGACTATTAAACGCCTGAATTAAATAATTTAAAAAAATGCAGTGAACAATACAGATTAAAAAGAATACTTACAGCTTTCTTAAACAAGCACATTTTCTAGTTAAATGTTCTATCTGCTCCTTGCCTGCTCTCTCCATTTGTCGTATTTTCGTAGTATCTTCTGATCTCTTCTCTCTTAGTTCCTTCTCTCTCGCAAGTGCCTCTCTATATTAGTTAATAGGTTTCAGGGAAAAGGAATAACGATTAAAGTTTGGTAATAAGCTGTTAATTATAGGGTCTTGGTTCATTTGTTAAAAAAAAATACGAGTCAACTGTCACTTGGCTGTATATGGTTGTGTCGAATGAGTATTTTGACGGCAAATAAAAAACTTTTTAAGGTAAATATTATTTTTAATACAGGCAATATTTTTAAAGTCACAACCTTTTTTAAATTTCGAATACATGAAATAAGTTTGTTTAAAACATTTTTAATACTTACCATAGATTAGCACAACCAATTTTGTTTTTCATAAAAAAAGTATAAAAATGAAAAATGATATAATACAAAAAGCGAAATTGTATAAAGTTAATCAATATGAATTTTATACAGATTATGCTTTTAAAAGTTATAAATGATTATATACTTACATAGTTATTTCATAAGCCAATGAAAGAACAATATATCACATGTTATCAAAGAAAATGTATGAGAAAATATACGAAATTTTGTATGATGACTAGGAGTACATAAATTTACAAGAGCCTATGTTAATTACTTATATCTTTGTTAACGACAGTCAATTAATAATTATTTTTCTAATAAACTAAACAATTATTCCTGAATACACTATTAATATTTAATTTTAAATGCTGTTTTTATTAACTGAAAATTTATTTATTTATTTTATCTTAACATGTACTAGGTATGCATAAACTTTTGAACGTAGGCTCTATTTTTGTATTTGGCATACTGCAGTTTCACGGAAAAAAAAGTCGGCAAAATTCTAAGTTCAGTGGAAAAATAGGGAAAATAAAAATCGGTATTTTGTACGGGACTCTCAACATTCGGTAACTTTGCCGTCGTGATAGATCTAGCAAAATATATACAAACAATAATTTCTTCTAAAATTGTTTTAATTTCATTATACATTTTTACATACGACTTTCTTAAGTATAAACGGAAAATAGAATTAAGAAAATGAATTATTTTTGTAGGTAGATACATACACTGTTCACGCCGTACCTATAAACGGCAGAGCGGGGCAGAGGGGACGGTACACATCAGTGCGAACATAGCACCGAGCTCGGTGCATACGATCATAGGATTCAATTGCTATAACGGCTCATAATAAACGTTTGAAATAATAAACTCTTTGGAATTACAAGAAGCAATTTGGTGATCCTACATGATACTATACATTTATATATATTATATATATACATATACATAGATATTATATATACATTTGGTGACCCCTGATCTACTCACAAATATACACATAGTACGTATCTATCTACAGAATTAAACTACGTATGATACTTATATGTTATATAGAGTAATAATTTAATTAATTTTCTTTGAACGACAAACATTTAAAGTTATCCACAATTTATAAACCTAGACCTCTTATTTCCAGTTAACAAAAACAGCACAATCCCCTACGGCAGTATTATAAAAACATTCAATTAATCGCTATTATGTTGTTTGATATCTTCATATAAAAGACGATAGCTATGGACAGTAGGAAAGTGGCAAGTGTGAGACGCGTTGAGGTAGTCACGCCGAAGACTGCGCCCGCCGCTACCACCGCGCCTAGCGCAGTGTATCTGTTAGCAAATTATGTTACCTTGGTACATAGGCGTGTAAATCTATTATCTCAGTGGGATGCTGGGCATTTCTACCTGTCGCCAAATGCCATTTTTTTTTAACTGGTAGGGGAAATAACCTCAGTAGGATGCTGGGCATTTCTACGTGTCGCCAAATATCAGTACCCAAATGCCATTTTTTTTAACTCTTAGGGGAAATAACCTCAGTAGGATGCTGGGCATTTCTACGTGTCGTCAAATGCCAGTACCCAATTGCTTTTTTATTAACTGGTAGGTGAAATAACCTGACAGCCCATCTGATGGTAACTGGTAACTGTAACCTATTAGTATGTTACGATATAAGTGTATTAAGAAGAGCAAATAGCATTTAAACGCCATTTAAACGTCTTTTATGAGCTACATTATATATGAACTAGCTTTTGCCTGCGGCTTCGCTCGTGTTAATTTATAGGGGAATTTATCAAAATCCTTTCTTAGTGGACGCCTACGTCATAGTAGCTTTATGAATGCAAAGTCTCAGCCCGATCGGTTTAAAATTGACAAAGTTTCATATAAACTTTCATCCCATATTTTATCCCTTTGGGGGTAGAATTAATCAAAATCCTTTCTTAGCGGATGCCTACGTCGTAACATCTACCTGCATGCCAAATTTCAGGACGATCCGTCCAGTGGTTTGGGCTGTGCGTTGATAGATCACTATATCAGTCACCTTTGAGTTATATATATTTAGATTTATACCAGTGAAATTAGATCCACTTATAAATATACTTAAAAATATAAATATACTTGAAAATATAGTTTCAACACACGCGTGTAATAAACGTAAATAGTGAAGTTATATTCCACAACTCCACTATTTGCTATTTTATTATCAAATTTCGAAGTGTCGCCGCGCGATCCGCCAATAGGCAGCCGATTTAAAAAAGTAAAATGGCGGGAAAGCAACAGTATGCATCACAGTTTTATGGTTGAGTTTATTTAAAATCAAGTGCGTTGAAAATCGTACGATATACGTGCGTATTTAACACACTCCGCTCTATTACGCCCTCGGATTGGGCTCGGGCTGAAATTCCACCTCCTGTGTTTTTTTTTTAAAAGATGTTAATGGAATGGTGCACCCGTCTGCGCTAACGGTTTACGCTGGCGGGGCACCAGTGGAGGATCATAGGATGAACATGAAGTCATGTGAATTCACCGGGAATGTATCACGATGGTTTCCAGGGGGAACCGCGTGGAGGTCGATCTGACATGGTACATTGCTAGCATTGGGATCGTTAGTCCACATAACTAACAACCCCCCCCCCCGCCCCACGTGTGTTATAACCATCATAACGCACTTATATCGTAATATACTACAACAACACTATGGACTATCACTTCGTCATTTGACGCCCGTTGGGATTCGAGACGACGAGCTACCATTCCTCAGTACTCTGCAATTTCACTGCCATATACAATCCCACAAACTGCAACATAGAACTTCGATCAGGAATCATCATCCCAATGGCATAGGGCATTTCTAAACGTGATGACTCATATAGATGTACATAGGCCACTACATGATCCTGACTACGAAGTTGGTTGACGCAAAAAACTATTGTGTGTATTTATTTCATTTATTTTTCGTTGACTCTTCGGTAATTGAAATATAACAAAGTTAAAGTTATCCACGAGACGATAGCAGAATAACTCAATATAATTTGTATTCAAATTTCCACTTTGTTTCTAGGTACAAATGGTTCAGTTTCATGAGTATTCTAACCTTCGGTTTAGAATACCATTTATAATCAATCCTGCATAATTCCTAAGTTTGTTAAACAATTTTAGACCTTAATCATCGTAGAATACACTATAAAATCTCTAGTTTATCTTGAGTTTCATATATTTATTTACAAAATATTATGAAAACTTTCTACTTTTATTTAATGAAGTTATCAAAGAATATATGATTCTTTGATCTTAAAATGTTATTACAATACTGCCTTTTGGACTGTCATTTTCCGTGATGAAGCAATGGTAGGTATGTGAATTGATGATAGTTTTTGTGTGTCTATTAAATGTGCTTTGTTGATGCATGGTTAATATAAGGATATAATAATGTTGCAACTTTGACCAAGAACAAGTATTATTAACAATTGTTAGTGTTGCTACCTGTAATATAATTTAAAATGACATCTATATTAGACTTGTACGACAGATAGAAAAAAACGTAGTATTAAAATAACATCTATAGTAGATAGGAAAAGAACAACATTCTTTTACTATTAGAATTAATTTGACATACATTTGACATCTCTATGTAGAGTCAGTCATAAAGCGTATTCTAAGTAGAAAGTCAGATAGAATACTCACGAAACTGAACCAATTTTATACAGAAACAAAGTGGATAAATGAAAACTAATTCAGACCCGTAATACCTTGCTTCTTTGCCACTATCGTAGTATAAAAAAAATCATTATAACGCTGTTGGTTCATAAAATTTTAATCATACTTCTCTATTTTCCACTTTATTTCTTGAAGAAAATTGTTCAGTTACATATATACTATTATTGATATTCGGCTTGGAGTACTTTATAAGACTAATCCTGTATAAAAAATGCTTATAAACTGCGTGCACCAAGAAAACTGTCAGAAATAAAATTGAAGAATACTTTAGCACTTCTAAAAATTTAGTTGTTGGTCAAAATCTCGTAACATTAATGGGTGAAATGGTAGCCAAATTGAGGTCCAAAAGACAGTATTTTCTACTATTAGTAAAAAATCATTTAACTACAAGTTTTTAGATACAATTATTGGGAATAGAGGACTCCAATTTTGCTACCAATCGCATTTGGTTTACTAATTTGTTAGCAACGACAAGTTATGTTGTTTATGGATGTTGTCTATGATGATAGCAGCTAATGTAATTGCAAGCACGAAATGGATGATTCAATATAAAGTGTCAGGTATCTATAAGATTATTTATAAAAATGTAAGCTTGATAAAAAGTTTAGTGGTCGTGATAAGGAAAGGATTTTCAAAGACATGCAATGTACGTCATCCACATATGTTTACATTTAGAGCACACAAGAAAATAAATGTCTTACCTCAATTCTTGCTCTGTAACCGCTAGCGTACGTCCGCATGCCGCTGCTTTAACAGCCAGAGTATCAAAATCTGACGATTTTGACTGAACTTGAGATTTTAATTCTGTAATTGGTATTTAGAAATAACCTTTTACAACGACGGTGACATAAAGCGTCTTAGCCTAGTGGTATATCATCCTGATTGACACCCAAAAAAAGGTTGTGAATTCAAATCTGTCCGACATATATCTGACTAACGTTCAGGTGGTTTATGACCAAATATTAATCTGAGACACAGCGATAGACTTTTCCTCTGCCGTTCTAGATATTCCCAGTGAATTATGGGCATATCAAGTGAAGTAATGCTCTCTATAAAACGACGGTTGACTTACCAATGAACTAAATGTTTCTAATTTTCACTGATAAAGATTTAGACCATTGTAATAATTTTAATACAAATAATATAATTCAATAATATAAATCAAATAATTCCTCGTGCTTATTCCCTTATTAATATATTTGTCTGATAATAATAATATATCTAGAAATTAATTATTTTATAATTATGTTCGTTTATACCTGCAATCTCCTCCAAAAGCTCTTTCTCTCTCTTAACTCTCTCTTCTTCACCTTCTTGTCGACACTCTGACTTCATACGAGTCAGACAGCTTTCTTTATCTGTCATGAATTGCTCCCATTGCTCCTCTGTAATTTATTTTTTAAATTATAATCGCTTTTACTTTTTAAAAAGAACAATATAAAACTACCTAAATCCGTTAGGGATAAGAAATTGAAGGATATTCTTAGGAGCGATGGATTTATATAAACTCGGCGTCGATATTTGCAGTTTTATACATCTGTGAATGTCATCGTTTCTTCAGTGAACATATTTCTGTTTTAAATAAATAAATAAAAAATAAACTTTTTACTTTGAAACTAGATGACGTCGTATGAATTTACCAGGGGTCAATAGGTAGGTAGGTTCCTATATGTGTAAAAAGACTCTTTACAATTAACATACCCATTTCTAGCCGGTGTTGCTCCTTCAATTTGTTCACCTGTTCCAATCTCTCCGATACAAGTTTCGACCGGGTCGTTTCTAACAGTTGTTTCGCTTCACCAGCCGCTGTAGAAGCTTCTTCTTCAACTTGGCGGAGTTTGGTTGACCATTCTTCTATTAAACGTTCTGAAATTATAACGTTAAGTCGATTTTAGAGTGCGTTATTTATAATTTTATTTACGTGAGGGGTGATAATTATAGAATTGTTCTATCACCCCTTTTATTAATGCCTCATAATTAATATATATTATCTCCGGATAGGTATAGTATGTGATCTATTAGACATTTCGAATATTATTGCAAAATTTATAAGAATTTTGCGATTTTCGTAACATGAAATATAACATAATTCCTTCTTAAGTCATCTAGTTGGTCCGTGTAACTTCGTCTTCATCACACTTACTTGACATTTATCATTATATTTATTTATATAATATATTTTTATTCTGATGTATAAGCTATATTGCTCTAAAGTTTCATCAAAATATATCAAGCGTGAAATAGTGACAAACATCCAACCATACTAACAAACTTTCGTGTTTCTAATATTAGTAAGATATGCATTTACAAATAGATGCAGTCTAAGTTTAGTGAGTGATCGTGCAATATTTTAAAGTCTATAATACCTTTTTCTTTCTCGAATCGTTCCGTCATCTGCTCTATATTGTTGGCATAGTTTATGTCCGCCTTGTCTAGAAGATGCCTCAGCTGCAGGATGTCCCAATCGGCTTTGCTGTGTGCTTCTGCTACCTCTCTTTCGAACTGTGATTCTTTGCTTGCCAGTACTTCTTTGAGATTCTCGAACTGGAATGTGATTAATTCATGAAATGATACAGATCATCTACCTCCTAGGAGGGTCACCTCCGGAGGAGGTTGGGGTTTAGGGGCCCCTTTGCCCCAGCTTGTGATTCGGGAGCAACGACTCCCGGGTAACCTGGATCTAAGCCTCATGATGGACCTAGTATTTATAAGGTTGGCACATTACTAATATTAGTATTTAACGTTGATCTGTCAGGTCGATGTCATCTCATGTTTTATTGGCCCATGCTGCTCAGTCTGTCTAAGCTACAAGAATCATGTACGACTCGTTAAGTGAAAATTACAATTAAAATTTTTAATATGATCAAATTGAATATTAATTCTACCAGACTAACTTCGTTAATTTCGTGTAAAGTTTTCGCGTATATAATATTAGTATTTTTTTTCTAGTCTATTAATAAGCGGTGTAGTGGTAAAGAGTGTATACCCTGGTGGTGAGCTCGCGCAGCTTCCTGTCCGCGCTGCGCGCGCGCACGTCGGCCTCCGCGCGCAGCTGGCCGAGCGCGGCGCGCGTGCGCTCCGCGGCGGCGCGCTCGAGGTGCGCGCGCGCCGCCGCCTGCTCGGTCCGCGCGCGCTCCAGCGCCTCCGACTGACGCTGCTCCAGACGCTGCGTGCTCTGAAACACGCCGAGGCAGGCCCGTCACTATCACTAGTGACATCATCGATCTGATCGTGCGTCATTGCGTATGTCCCTGGGGAATACCTGAAGATCTGTGGTTCGCTGCTCGAGCAAACGATACGAGGTGCTACCCACTATGTTACTCACACGTTTTTGTACCTATATTGTATTTTGTTAACTGATCAATGTAGTTGTTTATTTAATTTTGTTTTTTATGTTGTGTGTGTGTATTTTGTCGCAAATAAAAGTTTTATATATCTATCTATTCTAAAAATCATCGCGAAATTTATAGATAGTTATTTTGATATATAAGTAATATTATTGTAATGTTTCATTAATAATCATTTAGTAGTTTTTGTAAGTGACAAACATCCACCCATTCATACTCACAAAATTTTTCAATTATAATGTTAATAAGAATTTAGAAACAACAAAAACAAAAATTTAGAATTTAGAAACAACAAAAATTGAACTTATTATTATTAGAAGAATTTAGAAACAACAATAAGAACAAAAAGTTTACCATTTTTTGGTCCCACGCATTTATGGACCTTTCAGTCAGATTTAGATTTAGAATCCAAACCCAACAAAATCGTATAGATTCTCTATATATCTGATATACTCTATTTATCTGATGTCTCTTAAATTTGATGGCATTTTCTTTTCAATTCTAAAATGTAATTACTAACCTGCAAATATCGTTCCTCCTTCTCTTTCCCTATTCGAGTTTCTTTATCTAACACCTCCTTGAGTCTGTGCACTTCTAACTTCAACGCCTCTTCCCTGGTCTCCACTGTTTGTAGCTGAAGCTTGAGTGCTTCCACCGATCTCTGTTGCTCTGTAGCTAGCCCTCTCAGTTGTTGCAGCTCGGCGATGTGTGCTGGTGTTGGGGGAGCGGATTGCAGTTGCTCTACTGTGTTTGCCAGCTGAGGATGAAAAGCAAACTGTTAGCTTCTATACATAAATTTAGAATACCCATTTGCCTAATTTGTAAAATAACGCGATATTGATCGTACCGCTACCAATACGCATAAGTAATAAAGATGGGAAGGAGAAAGGAAGCGTCTGGTCTTCTCAACTGCTCTATCCTAAAGGATAGAGCAGTCGAGAAAACCAGACGCTTCGTGACCAGACCAGTCGTGGAATATGTAACGCAATTTATGTGGAATTGTGGAATTCATGTTACACAACTTGAAACAGAAATAAAAGTACCGCTGCATCGACATATCATTTCTGAAACTTCTCAATAATATGAAGAATAAGAGATATATTACTTCATTAATTATTATTGTTATTTTGTTTAAATTCGCTATTATTAGCATGGGTGAGATCACAAACATTCAGTGCGAAAACCTGACCACCGCTACCGGAGGCGTTATGACTTTCTTCACTAGTGATCAAAGTGTAACCTCAGTTATCAATACTAATATTGCGACACATGTTTCGCCTCTAAACGAGGCATCATCAGGCAATGAATAGAGTTTGGATATAGTTTGGAAGCCTAGTGTCGACTGTTCGGCGACCAGACTACGACGTAACGCCGAATGGTATACTAGTATAGGTACTATTAGCGGATACCATTCCATATTCATCCATCCAAAAATGATCCAATTTCTTACCTCTTTCTTCTGCTTCTCCGCGTCCCTGGCTTTCTTCTCCAGCTCCCGCATCTTCCATTCGCAGTCGGCTAGCATCCGTTCGGCTCGCGCGGCCGCTTGCGATCGTGCAGACTCGTGGGCCGACCGCCATTTTGCTGTATTTGCTTCAGCTGCTGCTAATGCCTGATGATGATGAAATATTTCAACAAATAATTGAAATCAATACAGAATTGGCGACGAATTAATGTACAATAGGTTACGTTTGATAACAAATAAAAAAGAGTCTTGGTATCGGTTGTATTTCAGACAGCTATTTAGATTTTTTTTATTTGTCAGAATATGTACTCTCAGATTGTTCCCATAAAAAACATGAAAATCAATTGAGTTTATTTGTTTTTTAATCAAAATACTGTAATAATATATGGGCCCATATGAATTGTTTAATTATGAAAAATGTGACATGCAGTAGAATTTACGTCACGTAAAAGTCAAAATAGGCCCAATGAACTGTTTAACGATTGTGTTAAGTGCTAGTGGTTTTTTTTACTACGAAAACTATAAATAAAATAAATACCTCTTGAGCCTTCTGTTCTTGTAAAACTTTCTCCTGCTCTAATCTGTCCTTGTCTCGCTCTAACGCTAGCACTCGAGATTCCAACTCAGCTCGTCGGGTCAGCGCATCATCTAGTTCAGATCTGAGCTGACGGAGTGATTCATCTGAAAGAAATAGACAATCCGAGATCAGATAATTAATTTGTTATTTACGAGTATTGTTCACTAAAGCATACTGTCCAACGTTGTCTATATATACATGAACAAAAGTAAGGACGATAATACATCCATTATTTACTCTTTCCTTTTATATTACCCTAGTAGAGAAGTCTACATTACAAATGTATTTGGATTTCAACCAATTTTTTTTAAAGTAATTGCGCGGGCAATATTCTGCGGGCCCACCTGATAAGTGGTAACTTAAGTGATAATATTTATAATAATAAAATCCATGGGTTCAAATCCGGCTCGAAGGACCATAAAATATATTTGGGGTGTTGTCCCTACATTTGTTGATAATGCTTTTAATAATTGTTGTTGATAATCTACGGTGATGACAAAACAAAAGATACGTCCCGTAATGAGTGGTTGATGTTACACATAGATTTTATTATTGTATGGTGTTCCGTACAGATCCTGAACATTTCACACACCACCACGTAGTCCCAAGATAAGCACAGCTTGTGGTATGGGTACTAGACAATGGATTTAAATACATTTTTTTTGTAAATACATACATAATATATATAGAAAACATCCAGAGCAATAGAAACATACTCATGAATACAAATGTTTGAATCGTGCGAGGAATCGAATCCTTATCCATTTGAAGTAAGGTGATTTTGATAAACCACTAGATCAGCGAGGCCGGAATTTACTCTCTAATAGACTAGAATAATAGAAAAAGAAAAGAGGAGATAATGAATAATAAAACTCACCGTTCCGCCTCTGCAGCTGTTCTGCCAAGTCTGCGGAGCAACTCCTGGCTGCAGAGAGGTCCTCCTCCAGCGATCTGCTCCGCTGCCGCACCAGCTCCGATTCTTTGTATGCTGCTGCTAACTCGCATTTTAAATCTGTAACAAAATTGTTTTTAGTTATTAGATTCAACATGTCTTTATTCATGTAGGTCTATTACAGACTCTTGTGATATGTCAAATCTACGGTCAGTTCGGAATGATTTAGATATGGTCTATGCTAACGACATACTCTTGGGATTGTTAGTAATGTGGACTGTTAACCCCATTGCTAGCAATGTACCATGTCAGGTTGACCTCCACGCGGTTCCTCCTGGAAACCATCGTGATAAATTCTTGGTGAATTAGTCACGATGGGCTAACTGATCCGACCTCATGCTCGTCTTATCATCCTCCACTGGTGCCCCGCCAGTGTATACCGTTAGTGTAGGCGGGTGCACAATTCCATTACATCATCATTACATAGTATAAAACAAAATCGCTGTCGCTGTCTGTAAACCTTATGTATGTTTAAATCTTTAAAACTAAGCAACGGATTTTGAAGTGGTTATTTTAATAGGTAGAGTAATTCAAGAGGCAGGTTTATATGTATAATACATGTACACCAATGCGAAGTCGGGGCGTATAGCTAGGCAAGACTAAAAAAAACGGCATACTTTTATAGATAAGATGAGGATGGAGTCAGTCAGTCATCGTGACGATTTCATCAAAAAAACATGATTCCTAGTTTCGACCTACGACCTACTAGGTTTCGCATCGACGGGACGACCGAGTCGGCTTTATTGCATTAGGACCAATAACTCTCATTAATAACAATCTTTCCCCTCTTTAAAACATTATCAAAAATGTATATAGCTATGGAGGTCGACCAGTTAAAATATATCGCATTGGGATCAATAATTCCCATTACTAACAATCCCTTACTCTCCATAAAGCATGAACAAGAAAGTATCTAGTAATTTTGCCAAGATGTAATTACCAGGGGAACATAATTGTACAGGCGCTTGGAAATGTAAAACGTTCTAAAACAGATAATGGGACGTAAATATCTATGATTTACTTTTAGCGTCCGCTGTCGTTGAGAGAACGGCATTGCGTGCTTTTGTTAATTAGTTGAAAGATTCGATGAATGTTGAAGGCCGTTGTAACGTTCCTGGTTCGATCCAGGAGGATGTCGTATGTTTTGCAGTGTAAAGATTCAAGTCTATTTTTACAAAAAAATTCACGTAGTAGTACTACTAGCCGAAGGGTGTGATGTATCGGCACTATCATGGCAGATTGCCGTTGACAGAGCCGTCACCATAGAGACAATTTATATTTATATAATAATTAATAATATTACCAATATCATTTATATGCATGTTAGTCTGTAAGGTATTTATAATGTGAGACATTAGTGGCCCCAATTAAATAATTAAATAAATAAAATACTGTCCAATTACTCGCTAACAATAAGCTGTATAGATAAAAGAGATTGACTTAATGCATAAACTCAAATTGTAGTTAATATTTTGAATTTGTGCATAATAAACATAAATATAAAAAAAACATTTTTTTATAGTTTTAGTTGGTAATCAAATCAAATCATATATTCATGTAAGAAATTTTAGCCTAATTTGCACTTCACATTTAATAAGGTTATTCCCGCCATTTCACAATACAGCCTCTATCAACTGCACAGAGTACGTTCTAAACATCATAGATTATACCAAAGACTACTACAATCATTATTGTTGGTATATTATATTATACTATATAATATATATATTGATACCTGGGAGTTACTAAATGACTGTCGGATTTGAAGTTAAGACCGTTCGGTCGAAGACGAGGTACTAAAACACTACGCCCCGATACACTACTTCTACATTATTCTTCACACACAAACATACAAAGTAACTTCTTATTTATATATTGATACAGCTAATTAAGAGACATTGTAGGTACTAGGGCAACATGAAGCTTGAAGAGATCACAAAGCTAAAGTCATCCCAAGCGACACAAAGGAACAGGGAGTCGAGATCATCGCTTATTTCAGGATAAAGGAAAGTGTTTATTTCTGGATTTCACTTTCGTCGTACGCGTGTGTGAATGTGTTTGGCTCTTGTTTTTATTATTAGAACAATGTTTTATCGCCGCTAAATATAGGGAATCAAGGTCGTGGTTTTGACTTTGTAATCTAAATAATATGAAAGAATACGTATAATTGGTAAATCACGGGACCTTGCCATGTTTTATTTTTATTGATTCAATATATTGAGAAGAACTGGCAAGAAATTCAATTGAGTTTCATGGCAGTCAAATGGATCTATATACGGAACTGGACGGTAGAGAAAAAAATTAAATTGTATTGTAAAAAGTTGATGTTCATAAGCGGCTAAAATGTCTTGAATGAATAAATGATTTTTTAATTTTGAATTTTGAGTTCTCGATATTTCGAAAGCGTCACAACCTCTATGATCACGGGCAAACTGTTTCAGTTTACGTATAAATAATGAACGCGTCAAATTTAAAACTATGTGAAAGAACTATTAAAACAGTTAAAGAGATTTCCTTTGTAACGTAGACATTTTGGAAGTTTCTGGAAATCCCTTCAAGAAAGAGATTATAGATTTATCCAGACAAGAGTAGTAAATAGCTAATTTTATAACGATTGTATGAAAACAGGTAAAATAGATCTTTATGACGTAGATATGTTCTAAGAAGTTTCTAGACATTCCTTCAAGAAAATTATTATAGGTTTGTTACGGCCAGAGTAGTAAATAGCTAATTATTTTATACTGATCGCTTATGAATTCCTAATACTTATGTAGAAAGTGATGTTGGTGTTTGGGTTGAAATTAATTGACGCCATGACAAAGACCCTAGGGTATGTAACGTTATTTATAATAGAGGTTCAATACTTGTGGTGGGATTATCATTATAAAGTTTTTGTAAGTCCGTAAGTCCAATAATTAAAGGTATAGTAAAGGGATTAAGAACAGAGGACAGACAGTAAGTAAACGATTTAATTGTAGTATAAAGAATATGATATAAGGGCATCCTTAATTATCTCTAATAACATATCCTCTACTATGTACAATTAAATCGTTGGTTTGTATGCTTCTTGTTCTTAAATCTCGTTACTATAGCTTTAATTAGTGAACTTAGGAACAAAAACAGTAACGTTCAAAAACAGGTTTTGGTCCAGCAATCCGGTAAGGATTCGATCCGGAGGAACAAACGATTTAATTGTACTAGGGAATAAGTTATTAGAGATAAATATCCTCATTTGTAAATGGTTCATGGATTTCGGGCTCAAAACCTAGGCTGATGGTGATTTCTAAGTCTTCATGTTAGTTAACATATTATGTACTAATTGGAGAATACGAGAATGAAAAACAATATAGTTTCTCAACAATATGTAACTACAGATATTCATTCAACTAAATATTGCTGTCAGTACCGCACTAGGCGTCAGAGCGCAACCGATGGCGACAGCTCATCGAGAAGATAGTGTAGAGTCGTGATCCTCAGCAGTGAGTGAACGGGATGCAACTACAATGCTGAACAAGCGACACCTGACACCTACCCGTAAGTGGCAACCGTCGCCTATATACCTGAACAATAACTACGGACATCATCCGTCAACGTTGCCATTCCGGTAGACTAAGATGCCAAGCCTTCACATCCTGCAATTTCACTGCCATTGAAGTGAAAGAGATAGAGACTACAGCATGAGGCTTCTTAAAGGTCAGTAGCACGATACATCTCTATTGTTCCAGACGTCCATAGGCTATGGTAACCGTTTCTCAAAAGATGAATCGTGTGGAATTACGCCTAAGCAAGACACCTTTTAGTGTGTTTTTGGGTTTTAAATTAAATAAACGCGTTATTAACTTGGCACTCGGTCGGCCATTCATCCAAGAAGGAAGATGTCAAGTCAGAACCGTACTTGTAATGTTAATTGTAATTTTACCACAGATAAGAATATTTACACTGATATATAATTAGGACACTAATCACTATAACTTAACAGGTCGTATACTTGTTTGCCGACGTCGTAGTACAAAAAAAATCTTCAAAATATTTGAAAACTTTGTATAAACTCTTACGTCAGTAAACTTTGTTCCTTAAGATGTATTATATTGAATCTTAAATAAAGTAGAAGGATTACTCCGAGAGTCTGCACAATGGGCATTGTTACAAGCGAAATTGAAATCTAAACAAAACCACGCGGAGAGATTTTTTGGCGGCACTCCAGAACTAAATGTGAACCCAATGTAATGTTCAACTCGAGAGTAAATGCACTTTATAGTATTTCATGTACGAGTGGGTACATCTGGGCAAAGACCCCGTATTGTCAGGAAACTCTTAATAGTAATTGAAAATTTATTATCTGCTATTTTTTAGAACTATTCTAATGCTGTTGGCCGCAGCTGGCAGCTTCAGCGAACGATACAGGACGGGTGCAGACGGCATTCTAAACCCGCGAAAGAACTTTTGGAACGGCTGAAGGCCAACTCCTGCCTGATACGACTTTAGTCTGAGGGTACTGCTAGGGGATTGAACTTCAGCTCAGGCGATGAATTTTGATCCCCGTTTGAATCGGAATTCCGATCAATTTTCCGATCGAAAATCGAGGAAAGGGCTGTTAGATAAATTATGTTAATAGGGAGGGGGCGTGGAAAGTGTTACTTTCTGTTACAAGGAAGGTCCTGAACTAAGTCACTTCAAATTTCGTCAATGTATGGACTTTCTATTTTATGTTTAATTAAAGACGACCTCGGTGGTCTATCGGTCGCTTTACCACCGATGGTCGCGGGTTCGATTCCTCGCACGCCTCAAACAGTTGTATTCATGAGTATGCTTGTTTGTATCGGTCTGGGTATTTTCTATGTATAATATGTATGTATTTACAAAAAAAATATCTATGTATATGTATCAGTTATCTAGTACCCATAACACAAGCTTAGCTAGCTTAACTTGGGTCTAGATGGCGCTGTGTGGATTATTATTTAACTAATACTATTATCGAAAATCTTGCAAACATCTTCAATATTTTACAACAAAACATAAGTTTAAATTGTTTTGTTGAGAGTTTACGTTCGAACTGTTAGTGCAAAATTCCAATATATGTGACGTCTCACTACCAGAGGCAGATTGTTCATAGTCGTGCGTGGGTACACTGGGTACTTCAGTCTCACCTATTATTATTTATGATGCCCTGGTAGCTTAGCGTGATTGGCCTTATTAACCGACTTTAAAATCAGGAAGTTCTCAATTTGATTGTTTTTTATAAGTCTGTAGACTTTGCAAAACTTCGCTGGATAGAGGTATCTGAGGTATACCTCAGTCTCATCCATTTCAGGCACCAAGCAATTTTTTTTTCTGTGTTTCGATTGTTGCGTAAGATTTGTGAAATTATAGGATAAGAGGCATGATATCTTCCTCTTGAATGACATGGTTGTGCTGTTCAAGTATATAGGCAACGGCTACCACTTACCATCAGCTGAGGTGTCACTATATTTGTCATTTCAAGTACATTAAATTACTAATTGTAAAAGACTTACGTTCTATTTCCTGGTCTTTAGCTTCAATCTCTTTCCTGTAGGCTGCGATGAGTTCTCTCGCTCGCTCTGACTCTCCACACCTATTGTCTGCTAGCTCTGTCAACACTGCCACTTGAGACTGGAATTTGCTCTCTTGTGTAACAAGAGACTTCCTGGAAAGAGTATTACAATTATTAATAATAATATCAAAGAACAATTCACACAGCGCCATCCAGTTTCAAACTAAGCTGAGCTTGTGTTATGGGTACTAGACAACTGATATAAATACTAAATTTTAGAGCGGAGTTTCTTGGCATTTCTTAGCTCGAAATCAACTGAAAATAACGGTAGATTTGACTTATCATAAGAGTCTGTAATAGACCTTATTGTACACGCTCATTTGAAAATAAGACCAATTTCTTGTCAGTTATTCTTGGTTCGAAATCACTCCGAACTGACGATAGATTCAACATATCATAAGAGTCAGTAATAGATCTATTGTGTACGCTCATTTGAAAATAATAGCCGAGTTTCTTGTCAGTTCCTGTTAGCTTGAAAGCATTTCGAATTGACGGTAGATTTGACACATCAAAAGACTCTGTAATAGACCTACATGAATAAAGATATTTTGATTTGATTTGATATTGATATAAAGATAAAAATATCCGAAACGGATATAGGTATTTTAATATATAATAATCTATATTAATTAAACGTATCTGATATTATGAGCGTGTATGACTCATGAAAATGTAAACAAATATTTCATGATCTCATTAAAATTGTATATTTTGTATAGTATTATTATAAACACCTGTCTATCAAACCCGCCACTAAATTTAAAATAGACGCTCATATTATACAGAGTGAAGGATTATGTTGTTACATAGAATAAACTCCGGAATTACTGTTGTTAGGGTTCACATCGATATTGTCGTAAAATCTGATATTTTGGAAATATTAAAAGTAGGTAGTTTAATTATTACCCGTTAAACTAGTTGTGTATAACCCCCACTCATATCTTCTCTGTATAAATGGGAGGGCTTTTGTAAGCCACGACATATGCTGGTTGTATTTTAAAATGCTAAAGTGAATTGTGTTAGAGACATAGTTAAATTAATGCTATATAGTTGTTATTTTATTATAATACATACTTTTCCTAGTACATATACACAATATGATTTATCTTACACTGTATCGATTTGAGAAATTCTTTCTCAGTTTGAAAGGTACACTGTGCAAAGTGACATTTTATTTTTTTATGTAAAGTAATTTTTATCTTTATATATAAATAAAATTGGAGTGTCTGTTTTAATACTGAAATAACCGTTTTTTATTACATGCATATGAATATAAATACGGTACATACACCAAAATAACATTTTTTACAATTTCTGTCTGTCTGTTTGTTCCAGCTAATCTCTGAAATGGGTGGACCGATTTTGACGGGACGTTTCTTGGCAGGTAGCTAATGTAAGAAGGAGTAACTTAGGCTGCTTTTATTTTTGAATAATAAAATTATTTTTATTATACATATATATATATAGTGTTTTTAATGACATGTTTCTATGTGTCAGAACAAAGATAAAAGAAATTATGTCGATACATTTGTTTGTTTGAACCCGAAGTAATTCAGTCGAGTTTCTTGCCAGTTCTTCTCAATTCAATATGTATACTGAACTGGACGGTAGGGAAAAATATTAATACAAAAAAATTAACGTACATAAGCGGCTAAAATGTCCTACACGATTAAATATTTTTTTGATTTGAAACACAGTGCTGTTTATGTATGTAGGCGACGGGTACCACTTACCATCAGTTGGGCCGTCAACTTGTTTACCATTTGAATTATATAAAAATATATATAAGATTTTTTTAATTATCTCAAATATTTAGATGATCATACGAATTTGCAAACTGAAGTCGATCTTAATTATCCTGTTTTTACCAAAGAGATTTATTGTTACTTATCACTTAGCTAGTTAGTTGATAAACCCTTATGGGCTCCTAAAAAGCCTAAAAATATAAAGAAATACAATTATCTTTGAAAATAGGCCGAGCGTACATAACAAACGATTTAGGCACATTCCACCTACAATGTAGGTAGTGAGTAATCAAATGTGAAATCACTACACAGACAGTATCCAGATGAAATAATTGAGATTTCATACGCTATTTTGAGATTTATGTACCTATAAATATAATTCAATTTCGATTCACCATTTTAAACTGTTAAATCTATTTACATCAAGCGTGTTCACGACCAGATTAACCGTGTCTTTATACAAGAAAATTCTCGTGGGACCCTGAGAATAGCTTTGCCTAAATTGATTCCTTGTTTAAATTTGAGATTTATGTACCTATAAATATAATTCGATTTCGGTTCACCATTTTAAACTATTGGAAATGTTTAAATCTATTTACATCTCACGTGATCAGGCCCAGATTAACCGTGTCCCTATGCAAGACAATTCTCGAAGAGCTCTAAGAATTGCATTGCCTAAAATTTCATTATCCAATTTAAAATTCCTTGTTTAAATTTGAAATTTATGTACCTATAAATATATTTCAATTACGGTTCACCATTTTAAACTATTGAAAATGTTTAAATCTATTTACATCTCACGTGATCAGGCTCAGATTAACAACAGGCTGTGTCTCTATATAAGACAATTCTCGTGGGACCCTGAGAATTTGCCTAAAATGCTATTGCCTAAATTGATTTATGTATTATTTAAATTTGAGATTTATGTACCTACAAATACAATTTCATTACGGTTCACCATTTTGAACTATTGAAATTGTTTAAATCTATTTACATCTCGTGTGATCAGCCTAAGATTAACCGTGTCCCTATACAAGAAAATTCTCGTGAGACTCAGAGAATTGCTTTGTCTAAAATGCTTTTGCCTAAATTGACTCCTAGTTATAATTTTAGATTTATGTACCTATAAATATAATTCAATAACAGTTTGCCATTTTAAACTGCTAGAATTTTTTAAATCTATTTACATCATGCGTGATTACGACCGGATTTCAAGTGTCAGGGCCCATAAGCAAAGCAATTCGTGAAGAGCCCCGAAAATTGTTTAATTTAAAATATCAATGTCAGATTTCTTTTTGTTTATTTAATTATTAAAAAATCTATAGAAATAGAATATCTAAAAGTATACTAACAAGATATTTATCGTTACATATGCCCATTCGACTTTTTAAACAGTTTCGTCTGTTGATTGCCTAAATTGATTCCTTGATTAAAAAAATATATTGTAAAAGGTTGCTCATTGCTATTTTATTTAGATTTTTTTTATACTACGATGGTGGGAAACAAGCATACGACCCATCTGATGGTAAATGGTTACCGTAGCCTATGAACCCCTGAGACACTAGAGGTGTGACGTGCGCGTTTCCGACCCTTAAGAAATCTTAATATACCCTTCTTGAAAAACTCCATGCTGTAGTTTTGTGAGAAAATCTCGCCAGGAATTCATTCCACAATCTAAATGTACGCGGGAGGAAGCTCCTCTGAAAATGCACTGTCCGAGACCCCTTAAGATCCAGCGTTTGGGAATAAATTCCCTGTCGATGGCGAGCAGTGCGATGGTAAAAGGTAGCCGTGGGGAAATTTTTAGCTTATGATTTTTAGATATGGAGAATTATCAATTATTGTCCAAATTTTTTCTGGTTGGTATCGCATTAATTTGATTGTTTTTTTTTTTGTTATTTAGTATAGATATGATGGGATTGTCATCGTCACATTTTTTGTACTGAAATCCCCAAGAAAGAATAAAAAAAAAAATAACTGAGGTACCCATGAAAACGCCTTGTACATAGCAGAAGGTAACTTCTTATTTATTTATAGTATATATTACAACATTTCAATACTAAGAATGTACGAAAATCACGTTTTGTATGCCAAACAAAGGAAGGGATAACTAAAACATGATTTATTACACAAATATAAAGTAGGTGTAAGTGAAACGCCGTGAAAATTGAAAATAAAATGTGAGTCAGGCCGCCATGTTGACAAGCTCGTGCGTCAAAACAAAATGGTGTCCTTGAAGTGTCAAAAAGCGCGCGAAATGTTGAAGTGCTACTATTTTTTTTTCTCTTGTGCCAAAGTGCTCTAATATTTTTTTAATTAATGTATATTTTATATAATTGTGTCTTAAATTAAATAAATAAATATAAATATGTTTTTTTTTCATGTCAAAGCAAACAAGCTGACGATCCATCTGTAGGCCGTCCCTACAGATGGATCGTCAGCTTGTTTGATCAAATGGTCATGGAACTGTCAGCACCGGCCATAGCATATAATAATAACAAAATACAGACACTTTTTTTTACGTATTTAGATACTCTTTGTAACATCTAATCTACTTATTCAACAAAATATGTTTTGAGTTATATGATATACTATATCACTCTATCTGTTAAAAAAACCGCTTCAAAATTCGTTGCGTAGTTTTAAAGATTTAAGTATATATAGGGACGGACAGACAGCGACAGCGACTTTGATTTATACTATGTAATGATAATATATTTCGTATATTGCGTGCGACCAAACTATGTTTTAAACATATTGTAAAAAATCTTTGACATAATTTTCGTATCACAAAAATGTCACAACAATAAATTCTCTAAAAATGTCACACAAATATTTTGCGTTGCAACACAATGGCGGAAGCGGCAAAATCAAATTAAAAATGGCCGTGCTAAGAAGTGAGAAAAGCGCGCGAAACTGTTTACCGCCTATAAATTGTTTAAATAAAGGTTAATTATCTGTGGAAACATTTCATTGAATGAAAGTATTTTGGTTGCGAAATATTTTATTCGGAAGAGCAATTAATTGCATCATACAGTCAAGGTCAGTGTGTTTATATGTATGTTGTTATTCTAGTCGAATATAAAGTATTTTTTACATAGCCTGAGCTTGTACCATAAATTTTCGCGCGCTCTTTATTCTTTTTAAAATGTTTACTAAAGGCAAAGGAACATAGGTATACTTATGGCACATTGTTTAAACAGCTTTTTAGTCTACTTTTTTTTTATATGATAGGAATTGCAAACAAACTGATAGTCTAACGGTAGGTACGCCGCCTATGTACTTGAATATGACATCACGTCATCATGTGACGCCCGTGTTACCCCTTATGCTGTTGCTATTCCAGAG